ACTAATTCCATTTCGCTAGATTATAGTTAACAAAAAATGTTCCAGAAACATAATAATAAAACGCTTAATAACACTAAAATTGTACAGCAATAATAATAAGTGGAGGATAATATAAAAATTGCATATCCCGGCTTACGCCGCACGTGTCGATGCGATGCGAAGCGATACTTATCTCGCTTCGCTTGTCACCCTTCCAGCCTAGGCTAACAACGTCAATATTTTTGTGTCGACTGTACTCCCGACGTGTTTCGATTTTTATTTGTTTTTATAAAATGTTTGGTTTAGTTACGAATGGGACTCTTAGATAATTTTCTTTTTAATTTTAACGTTTTTTTGAGTTCAATTTTTTATTATTTACTGTAAGAAAAACTAATGTAATAAGTAACATTTTTTTTTTATTGTTTAACTGTATAATGTTTTGGCTTGTGCTGTAAAATTATACATGTGCTTATAAATAAATAAATAATAAATAATTGTAATTTTATACAAGCTTTTTCTCAGACGAGGTGGTTTATATTGCGTCCTAATTTCCTGCATTCGTGTATGCAGAAACTTTGTTTATTGTTGTCTAAATCTAAACATACGGGACATGATTTGTAAAACAATACTATTAACAAACAAATCTACCGAAAATATTGCGAAATTCACGAAAATTTCTCATGCAAAACATACGGAACGGAGGAAATCATTGTACTTTCTCATAAGTACTCATAAATAGGTGCTTAAATTCAAATATTGGTAACACACACGTGTTGCACGGCGGGGAGTCGAGGGGTACGGGGTAGGGGGGAGAGGGGATTGTTCTTATTACATTATATTGAGTAGAAACCGTAGTAATTAACTGGTTGGAGTTTGCGGGGGTGCGTGTAATATGTTTGAGATGCTGACAGGTATGTGTGGGAGGAGAAACTGGGGTATAAATAGATATAATGACGTTTTTTGAATATTTAGCATCTATCGCATGTTAAAAAATACTTGAATGGATCGCAAGTCGCACTCCACACAAACCAAGAATTAAAAAATCAATAAGGTAATACTTAGTTATATGTATGTACAGTCCGCACTATTATTAGGTATACAGGTAAGAAACATATTGACTCAGTATATAGACAGTTGTTTTTGTTACACTAAATCAAATAACTAAACTAAACTAAAATTTGGTTTAATACATCCATATCTTTTGTTACCATTGGCCAGCTCAGTAGACACGTAATGGTTACTGCCTTAGTTCTGAGTAATTCTTTATTTTTGTATCTGTACATCAAACAACTGAGAAGACTGTACATACTATTATAATCCTTCATATAAGCTGTTGGATTCCAATTTAGATGTGAATTTATTTATTTTGTAATTTGTTACTGTATGTAGATATTGTAGATGTAGCATTTTATATAATAGGATGCATAATTGCAAATAACATTCAAACTTTTAAATACCTAACACTAATATTATAAAAGATAAAGTTTCTTAGATTGGATGTTTGTCCGTCAATTATGCTGAAACTACTGATCGGATTTTGATGAAATTTGGTATATTGGCTGACTTAGGTGATAGAATACTTTTATCCATATTTAAATGCATAAGATAAAACAGAAATAATATTTTCCGAGCACGAAATTACAGGTAACAGCTATTCTTTAAATAATATTGAAGTAAATGTACCTACTACTAAGATTAGTAAACGTAGTTTTTTTATAAAAACTCTAAGTTGTTATGTAAAAGATACTTACTCTTGTCAAATATTGTTGTTTAAATAACAAAAGTGGTTGAATATAAAAACAGTTACAATAGGGCATAACACCCTCAAGGTATTTCTGCAAGTGACAATATTATTAGCACGGACATGACAGCAGCGACATCTATATTTATTTGTTCTTCCGATTATGCACTCAACATCAATGTAAGCCTTAAATCCTTTGAATTGTGGTATTAATTTCCCTCCAACACTTCTTAGTTTTAAGTAACATTTGTAACAATTTTGTGTAAACGAAAACATACTTAAATAGTGAAAAATAAAACGTATTTTTCCTTGTTAGTCATTGTGACTTTCATAAATAGTTGTTAGCAATGAAATTTCATCTCTATGTTTGAGAAGATAAGGTAGGTTTTTCCATGGTTGGTTAAGTGTAGGGTGGAGGCACCTATCATCGGCCACATGCATGTCACGTGCGCGACACGCGTCATCTTCGATAATCTTCTTTGCCGGACTCCTTTGTTACAATTTGTTGCCGCGCCGATATATCTCCTCTACCCCAGAGATCCCAGTTTCAGATACGATCCGTAATGATATTTTAAATCAGTGTTTTGAACGAGCTATTTATTGAGTTTGTTATAGCGTGGAAATTTTATCTAAAGATTAAACTATGACGTTATAAAGCTGTTTTGTGATTCGTTTTTTTTTGTTATTTATTTGATTTTGCGCTACGACTTCTCATTGAAAGTGGTAGGTGCATTTTATGAAAAAAAGTAAAATGACAAGTCCTATATCCAGCATGCATACGTAGTATATTTTACTTTTTAAAGTAGGCTTCTATTCACGCATTGTTTAAGTAATCAGGTTATTTGAATATCACTAGGATAGTTAACACACAAGTTATAAAAAGATGCAATTTAAAATATAACCAATTTTTCAAGGTTAAACTAAATTCAACATTATTTCAACAGTGAGCCATTTATATGAAATATGATTCATTTAACCAAAAGTCGACATTAACAGCAAAAAATCACAATGTCCCCAGCACTGATGTTAAAGTGACAAGAAAATATCGCGATACAATGAAATAAAGTTGTCATTCCCAGTTGAAGGGCCGGGGAGCGTGCTAAATGCATTAATTTGGCCTGAATTTAGTGGCCCGGAAGTGATTTGCTACGGGAACGCATGTTCCAACGCGATATGACCCTGGGACGACAATTGACCCTCTCACCACATATTTTTAGCATCATAAATAAAAATGGACTTTAATCACTCAACTATACGATGCAGTTTTAAACTTCAACCAACACTAATAGTTGTATGAATAGCTAACAAGGTTTGGTTACATTTTTTGTTGAGGGTCGTTACTGTAAAGACTTAGCGATATTTACGAAGCTTTTGTTTGCTTAAGCTCTTATTATAAATGCGAAAAATTTTCCGTATCGATCGCTCTCCAGCACTGAAAGTTATAATGAACTAGAATATTAATAAAACATTGTTCACCTTTCTCGTCTGAGTTAATAAAACACGACGCGTTTCGCCACCGGATCGATCTCTTGACGGTAATATATTCAACGCTTAAGCACCTCTTAAACAATCCACGTAAACACAATATAACCCGATATTCGATAAATACGAAGACATCAGACGCCCTCACTCCAATATTATGCCTACCTGTCTATAAATTTATATCTACGATCCTTAACGGTACCCTCTGATAACTTAAAGACTTTATCCCCTGTACTGGAATTTTTACGGTAACAAAAGCCTTCATATTTTCTTTATTCATGTCGTGTCAAAATCGCCCCGTCTTCCCCCTTTTAGACGGTGGAAAAAAGAGATAGCCTGCCAACTCTTTCGCACTCATTAAAAATGTGTATTTCCGTCTCACGTTTTTCCCTCTGTTTCGGTTTTTATGTTTTTCTCGATATTCCTCGGTGAGAGTACTTAATGTGCTTTCATTTTTTCTTAAAACCGTCACCAACAGGATGATTGTGCGAATATCTTAATTAATTTATGTTAAGTATTCGAGAGGGCGAACATTTGTTGCTAAAGGGTGTTGTGTATAATGATCAGTGGTACAGGTCGTAAAATGTCGACGTAATTTTCGAGATTCTCGGTGTTATTACTGTATCTTTTGCGCTACGTTAACTTTTATAGCGTCTTTATGTTTTTGTAGCTTTTTTATAACTACGAAAGAGTTAGGTAAATCGCTGGTTAGCATTCATAGCAGCATTCGCTCTTAACATTAACTTGATAAAGTTGACTATAAAGTGAAAAAGATGTAAAGACTTAGTGTTGAATAATGCTAATGTATCTATGAGTTTATGCGTAGCCAAGGATTACAAAGGACATCTTAGTTGTAAATAAAATTACAATACTAATTTATTCATTGTGTAAATATCTGCTGTCTTAAAATCTTCTAACTGTAACATTTAATTAAAGACATTCCATAGACTTAAGAAATATTGGTAAAAAAATCGTTGCTACATTGTTTTTCTAATAAAACTCCTCTTTGCTGGTAAAGAACAGCCTCTATAAAGGAAGACGTATCGACGTCTAAAGGATGTCCCAGAAGGGAGCGCCCCGTATTCAAAAAAGGGAAAAAATGAAGAAAAAAAAAAGTTATAACGTCATATTGTTTTGCCGCCAAGTGGTGGGGCGGGAGGGGGGAGGAGAAAGGGGAGTCCTGTATAGTGCCAGGGAAAGATAAGGCGTTATAGCATCCTGTATACAGAGCCCGTATAGCTGTGGGGTGTGCAGTACCCCATTGTATTTTACGAGGCGCCCTTTCGTATTTTTCATACTTTCAGAAAGGCGTTTCGGCAAAGTGTAGCTCGATTTTTGGAAGATTACGCTCATGTCTTGGTTTTAAGGTCCACCAGCTATTAGTAGGCTAAACTTAGTAATGAACGATTGATTTTTAATTATACGAGGAGGATTTCCTCCTATAATTAAAACTCAAATATATATCAAATATATGATTATTTTTAAACCATTAAAACACACATTTTTGTGTTTTCTTGTAAAATTAAATACTTTTGACGATATGTTGATTTGAAATATCTTTGACATCACGATTTACTACATTTTATAGGGTAGGTTGACGGAACGACCTTCCACTCCTAAACTTAACACCGTTTTATCTAAGTATTGTTTTCTTATACGACAAAATAAAAATATGTGTCTAATATTTTTTCCTCATCTAACTGACGGACTAATTAAGTACATTTTTAATTTTCATACACTGTAAGACCCTACTAACCACAGAAAAGCTTCAAGAAAGAATAAAAATAAGATTACTTACACTAGGAATATTATCCGAGGTGCAAACTCCTTCGCTCAGCAGACGATCCCTGATCTCCCACGCGAAGATTGAGGGGCACTCCCTCTTGTACTGGGCTATCTTGCTAACCACCTCAGCTGTTGCGACCCGGGGCTTCGAGCCCCCAATCGCACGAGGCCTGATAGACCCTGTCTCGTAATACCTGTGGATATGGAACGGGTTAAGAAATGTGTTTTTATTTATAAATATTACATAACACCATAACGTCACGCCTTTTATACCCGGAGGGGTACGCAGAGGTGTACATTGTGCCACTGTACAATGTAACACCCACTTTTCACTATTTATGTTGAGTCCCATGTAATAGGGGGTGAGCCTATTGTCATATACCGGGCACAATTCCAGACTCCGTGTTACAGCTGTGAATTTTTTGAAATACCTTGCCCGACCTGGGAATACATCCCTTGCCCGGCAGTCGCACTTGCGACCAACGAGGCAGTTTATAAATATTACATAACGTATTTCTGAATGAATACCACTTTTGATTTAGGGAATTGTGGTACAGCGTCTGTTTTTGTATTTATTTGATTAAGTAGTACCTAAAAAAAACAATATACTATTTCATAGTTAGAAATATCAACTGCAGACACAGTCGCCTCTGCCTAAAGCCGAACGTTACCGCCAGCTAAAATAAGTTAGTTTAGTTTAGCTCGCATAGTTAAGCTAGTTTTTCATAATTACATGTGCGTCCACCGCAAACTATGCTAGTTGAGTTTCCATGTTTGCAAATAACCATCTTTATTATAAATATAATTCTTCTGTGAGTGTGTATGTCACTGAATTTCTCTCAAACGACTGAACCGATTTTGATGAAATTTTTTGTGTGTGTTCAAGGGGATCTAGAAATGGTTTAGGTTCACAAATCAGCCCGGCAGATGGCGCTGCAGTTGATGTCTAGGTTGGTTATCCTAAACGGCTGAACTAATTTGAATGAATTTTTGTTTATACATTCAAGTGGATATGCAGGACAACGTCTGTTGCGTCCGCTAGTTATAGTGTATAGCTAGGTTTTGAACAGTTTAATTAGTCTACAATAATCTAGATTAAGGGTAGAAATTGTGACAAAGTTCTATCCTGGTTCCCCTTCACCAAGGGACAGGCTGCCGTTACCGGTATCAAGTTCCCAGTGGCTGGTGTCAAGTTCGATGCCAGGTAAGTGCACTTTTTATTCTCTTTGCCTGCCAACTGTCGTCTTTCGAACTGTGGCAGTGACGACTTTTTAATTTCGTTTTTGAATGAGGAAATATAATGTCATTTAGGTTTATCAGTGAATTATTGCGATTGAAATCTATCTCTGGTAACGATAACTGCCTCGTTGGCCGAGTGGTCGCAAGTGCGACTGCCAAGGGGTCTCGGGTTCGATTCCCGTATCGGGCAAAGTATTACTGGGTTTTTAAAAATTCGTAGTAAATAATATATAGGCAATAGGCTCACCCCCTATTACATGGGACTCATAACATAAATAGTGAAAAGTGGGTGTTACATTGTACAGTGGCATAATGTGCACCTCTGACTACCCCTTCGGGGATAAAAGGCGTGATGTTTTTTTTTTGAAATCTATCTTTTTGGAACCATGGAGGGAGCAAAAAATATCTTTGGCTCGTATGATGGCAAATAGTTTATGTAGCTTTGCCTAGCGGTGTATTTTAGACATCCAATGTCTGCAACACAGAAGATAGCAAAAGGAAACAGAAAAATGAAATTAGCGCTTTTGTAGATGGTAGATCTTCAGTAGTTAGGCCCACAGGAAGGTTGGAATTTGTGAGGTTGGATTTGTGTATTTTTGGGTTGTATGTTTGTACATAAATCCTTACTAATATTATAAATCGGAAAGTGAGTTTGTTTGTTTCTTTGTTTGTTCGCCTTTCACGCCGTAAATACTAAATCGATAGCTTTGAATTTTAACAGACGTAACGTTAGAAGTCCGGATTAAATAATAGGGTACTTTTTATCCCGGAAAAATTTGATATTCCCGAGGGAAAACAAAATTATTGGTATAGACGGCGCTGTGTATATCGTTATATGTCACATAGGCTACTTTTATCCTTTTGTGACGCGAGCGAAGCCGCGAGTAAAAGCTAGTAAATAATTAATAAATAGTTTATATCTAGACTCTAGAAAACTAACTGTCTAACAATCATCCCTAACAAAGTGTCAATACACAACCAATTTAAAAGAGCGTAACCCCACTTTCCACCTAAGCGTTTGACCGCAGCCATATCTAAACAAACAAAGTAAACTATGTGAGGTATGCAGTAAGGTACACCTCTAGCAACTGGTCGTGACCGCAAGCATAGTTGCTGGTCGCTAGTCGCTGACCGCAACTAGCTAGAAAAGAACTACTCTAAACACACCTTGTTCAGTGTGATTGTTGGAGACCATACCTTGAAACGAATGAATGATTTTTTGGGAAACAAGTTCAAGTTATGAAATATTTAATCAAAGTCAAAGCATTTATTTCAGTTAAACCACAATTAGTTACTTTTGAAACGTCATAAAGTCACACTCACACTGAAGTAACATTTACTATTATTGTCTTTAGAGATTCGAAGATTTAAAAATAGGTTTTAATCAGCAAAGCCACAGACAAAACAATGATTTTTTTTAACTTCTTTTTTTTTCTAGTCGTCATAGTTCAACAGTGACTGGTTGTCTACAAGGTGACAAGCCTCGGAACAATAACTAAAGCATGGAAGCCAGGCTAAAATAACAACTACAATCCATATATTCATCTTTTTTTTACTTATGGTATTGATAGTGTATAAGAAAGAGACATGTGTATTGTTTCGTTTCGTTATTATGCGGGTTGTCACTACTTGTAAATATGCTAGTGATGGGAATATATTAATATATTTTATCGACAAATTATGGTACCTGAAAGTATTGCTGCTGTGATTTAACGTACATTAGGTTCTTAAGCTGGATGTTGTGGGTTCAGAAATAAAACTCAATATTAAAAAGATAATTTAATTGCTCACAAACAAAGCATATTTACAAACCGTGGTAGTGGTGTACTATTATGTGTTTATCATTGACTTTTAAATATGTGCGAATGTTTTCGGTAGGTACAGTCAAATTTTTAGTTACATAATGTATCCTAAGTTTAAAATATTTTTGTGCTATGGACTTTATAAGATTTCTGTGATCATCATAGAAATATTGTTCTAATGAATAATCTTTTTTTTCACGTAAATTTTTTGACGGCAACACATTTGCTGAAACTTTATTAATCAATCTAATAATTATTTTGGTTTACCGAGAGATTTTGATCAATATGCACTTGATATTCTCTTATAATTTTTTAGGACAGTTGACAGATCTTGGTTAAGCCATATGTTGGTTTAAATAGGCCTCCCTATATTTAAAGATATCAAAGATCTTTAAGGAATACTCTCCGTATTTCTAGGCATTTTTCGCATTGCAAAGATTTTTTAATTTCGTTCCGATAAAGCCGATTATGTATTCTATGACATTCTTAGAATATTCCGTAATAGATGATGGGTACAAAATGTAGTCGTGTTCTGTCAAATCATCAAAAGTATCATGTGACTCGGGCTCTAAACGATGTCTATACTATAAAGAACTTCAAAGCCTAACTAAAATATCGATATGTAACATGACCACATCACTAGCTTAAAAACTAACTTAGAAAATTGATTTAGATTTTTTAGGAAAAGATGGAATAATACTGTTTAGGCTTGCAATTGAAAAGTACGACAATAAATAAGTAACATTTATTTATAGTTTACCGGTATTTCCAGTATAATTTATTTTAAAATATATCAAAAAGTTACGAATGAAAGTGAATTTTTTCACCACTGTTTTCTTTTCTTCCTAAATGTGAATTGCAGCCGTCAATCACACAAGACGTATTTTTATTAAGTAAAACACATAATAAAGAACGACCATACACTTCCTTTCTTCCTTTCTTTTGCGCTAATTCCTTAGAAAATATTTTTTATTATCAGGAGCCGTAAATACAACCACGGTGACACTTCAGTACTATAATCCGGCAAAGTGAGGAAGGTGTCAAACTTGAGTGAAACTGTAAAACATAGAACGTCAAAACGTGATTTTGAATTTGGTAGTATGCTGAATGAGTCCAATGACATAAGATTGTAATGAGTCCACTGAAAGTTGTGACAACCTGCAAATTATCAGAACTATGTTCAGTTTGCAGTCTCATTCTCGCTTACGCAAAATCGTGTAAAGAGTGAGAGCATCAGATATATGTTTGTAAATTGCTATTTTAGCCTGGCTTCCATGTCTAGTTATTGTTCCGAGTGACAAGCACAGACTGTTGACAAGCAAGTAATATGAGAAGCCCTGCTTTTTATTTATTGACGTTATGTTTTTTTAGTCTGTGCATTTTGCGGTTATAACCCGATTCTTAATTTAAATATTATTTATTTTGTTGCTAGCATTAAAATTTAATATGCAATAGGAAATGTTTTTTTGTTAATTAATTCAGTTAAGAGTGATTTATGGTAACTTATGATCTTACTGACTGAAATTTTTACATTAAAGTAAATAAAGAATAAGTTAATTTACGTAAATAATCATGGGTTTAAGTAAAGTTATGTAGAGATGTGTATCGTATTTTACTTATTTATTCACTCTTGTCATTGTTAAATTTTTAATACATAAAATGTGTTTTGCGAAAGCCTAAAACATTTTCTACTATTTATTTATTTAAGAGTCATGGATTGGACCTTCAATGTGGAGGAGAGACGGTAGTCGCTCCATGTAAAATAAGTACTGACATTAGCGTCACATCTAATTGCACATAAAAAAACAAATTGAGAAGAAGCCCATACAAAGAAAATATCAAGATTTGAAAGGCTATACAGACCTGCCGAGTATCTTGGAGACGCAGCCGTTGGAGACCTGCAGGATGCGGCTGATGTCGCAGGGCCGCGCGCCCGAGTGCGCCAGCTCCACGATCTTCTGGCGCGTGGAGTCTGGCAGCGGCCTTCCTCCTACAAACACCCCGCCGAGCTGGTTAACACCGCTGTGACCTGCCGCACCATACCACTGCTTACTCCAATTAATCACGCGGCTTGAATCACGTGACAACTTCTCCAACCCTTCATTTTATTGGTACTATCTACTTGTTCTAGAATATTCTAGTTCGCTACGACTTACTTTAATGACTGATTTTGTTTGCATCTTATAAGGTAATGTCTAATTAAGGTTTGGAGACTCAGGAAAGGGTAGTAGATTTATTGGAGTTCTAGCTTTATGTAGACGCTGACTTCATTGAATTGCTTTCTTTCTTTTTTAAAAAACATTGCCCGACACTAGGATTATCTCCTGTGTCGTGGGTGCGTTTACAGACCTACAAGTTCACATACACATGACACCCAGACCCGAAACAACAATTTGTGGATCACACAAAGTGTTGTTCCTTGCGGGAATCGAACCCGCGACACGTTGCACGGCAGCTGGTTGCCCAGCCACCGCACCAACCGTGCAGTTACTTTAGAAGTGAAACATGTGTTGGTAGTAGGTACTTTGGACTATAGAAGAGTTACTTGTTAATTATTACCTCATATAATGAGAACTGAAAATAATATTTAGGTAATATCTATAGGATAGATTTAGGAGATCACAGCGTGTGCGAAGATTTGGATTTCGATTAGACATGTTCAAGCCCGCATACAGTTTCGACTTGCATCACTTCAAAAATAGTGTCTTTAGCCAACACCACTTTAGCGCTTGTCTACAGAGAGAGTAGAAAACTAAATGTATGGGGATGACACTGACAAGTGTCAAAATTTACGTCAATTTCATATCCGCCGCGTCGCGGGTCGTGTCATGAATATGACCCTCTAGCATGGCTTGAAACTAGTCGAGTTCCTCGTCAAATTATTACGTGAGTAAGCCGAAAACACAATAATTTATCAATTCCATATAATTTCGTTTTCTACTCTACAAGTAGACAAGCGCTAAATGGCATTTGGCGACTGTGTATTTAGCCAAATGCCACTTTAGCGCTTGTCTACAGAGAGAGTAGAAAACTAAATGTATGGGGGGTTACACTGACAAGTGATAACATTTACGTCAATTCCATATAACTTGGTTTTCTACTCTACAAGTAGATAAGCGCTAAATGGCATTTGGCTACAGCTGCAGGGCTTCTTTATCTCTTGTATATGTTATCTTAAATACTATAAGGTTGTAATAAAATGGTATATATTCACCATTACCTTTACCTTTGTGCGCCAAGTCGTCCATCCTGTCGAGTAGGTTGCCGTCGGGAGGCCACGGGCTGATGGGAGGTAACTGCTGCGCGGGCAGCATCGTGTACACCCCGTATTCTTCTATGGTGCCGACCTAGGATACAGGACACGTTTGTTTATTCACATCTTTTATTAATTTACTAGCTTCTGCCCGCGACTTCGTACGCGCAATCCCATTTCTCCCAATCCCGTAGGATTTTCAGGACCTTCTCCTGGCGATAACAAACATAACAAACAAAAAAATCAGCCAAATCGGTCTAGTGGTTCTCAAGTTATGGTGTGACAATGGGAAACGGGTTTCATTTTTAAAGAAGATAAGATGTACAATTATTTATTCATCAGCCCTAATCTTCATGAGAAGATGACACGCACGAGCGTGTCATATCGACCGAATAAGGAAATACGCATTTGGCAGAAACTGGCAACAGTGCTGCATCTGTGTTAACCTGAGGTTCGTTAAACTGCGGACTACAAAGTGTAAATACTATGGCAAACCCTATTATATAAAGGAGTAGTTACATAGGAAATGCCGACCACGTCTAGACTAATTTTAAAAGGGTGGTATTTAATACTTTAATTGTAAATTCCCTTTTTTCAATCAAAATATTCCAAATTACCACCAAAAATACTGAATTGCACACTAAATTTGCTCATCAAATAAATCAATTATACTTTACTGTTAGATCTTTAAAGCTTAACTGTTTTACTGAATGTCTATTTTTTAACTAAATCTAATAATTCTTCAAGTACAACAAAATCTTAACCTAACCTAATATTGAATAATTAGTGTGCAAATGAGTTTAAGTTCATTTTTTTGATATGCAGTGGGTTATTAGTGGAGAAAATTAGTTTGCTTAAATTTCTAAATATAAGTGCAGTAAAAAATTCCCCATTTTAAAATATTTACTTGTAAAAGTGCTATTCTTTTTTTAAAGAATGTGGCATGCAACAAGAAGCCGATGACTGGTTTCCACGATTAACCACAGGCAAATATAAAGGAGTTGATATAGAGAGATAGGAAATGTCCATAGATCACGTCTAGACTAATTAAAAAAAATTACAAGTAGGTACTATTTTCTAGTCTTTTTACCGAAATGAAGACTGTTACAATACATTTATTACATTTCACTTTTCTAATTGGTTACGCATAGGTAGGTACTATAATAGTCATGCCATGATAAAACTGCTGCTTGATTTACTATCCTAGAAAGGCTATGTAAAGCGTAGGAAAATCGTCAGTTACGTGAGGAAACCGAAAACATCATAATTAATTCGTCAAGACAATTTTTCGTTCCATTAAAAATAGCTTTGGGACGGCAAAAACCTCTTTAAAATCACTTCCAAAACATTGCTAATACAAGAAAATGAAACTTCCATGACACTAGCTATTTAGAACGAACAACCACAGCTTGGAACCACCCTCTAGTTCCCATGGGTGTAGCAAGATTAAGAGATTACCACGAGGGTTGTGGGTACCGCATCCTATGAGCCAGTAACGTACCCACAGACAGTAAAGATCCTCCCACGAAGCGTGAAGATTATGAGGAAATAGGGAGAGGTATATATGTAGTGGTATTTGTAAATTGATTGCTAGGATAACTGTCTAACTAGGGTGTTTGGATTCGATGATAATGTAACTTGTTTGTAAATGAGAAACTTGCTTGATGTCCTTCTCCAGATTTTCAAACATAGTTGGAATGTTAGATTACAAGACGATTAGTTAAGTAGGAGAATCTTTGAAAGTCTTTAAAAATAAATTGCATCTTTGTTAATACGAAAATGTTATTATTCTGTGTCAGTTTTTTATTGGATAACATTCTGCTCAAACTGTTGTGGTTCTTTCTTCAAAAGGCTACTACAGAAAGAACTTGCACGGTTTTCACACATAATCCTCTAAACATATTTTGTCTGGACTTAAAAAGAATCGGACCTCTGAGTTTGTTTCGGCATTTCTTCTCAGAGTAGTCCGTTAGGGAAATGTCGGCCTCATCGTTCGCTTGATAAAATTGACGTGTAAAAGTGCTGCCTTGTAGCCTATTTGCAGAAATAAATTCACTTGTTTTACTTTACTGTAAGTCTGTTGTTTTAGCTATATTTTCTGATATAAACTTTCAAATATTATAAGGTTTATATTATCCATTAATAATTATAATAGTTTTAAGAGTAGATAACTTACAAAGTATTATAGTCCATTATGTTCATAGCGTTAAGTATTTAAAAAATGTTTGCATGCCAGATGGTAGAATGTACCAGAAACGATATATCTTTGTAAGACCTTATATTAAGTACATACATTCAATGCAAATAAATTATTCTATTCTATTCTATGTAGGTAAAGCGTAAAGGAATAACAAACAAATAAACAAACAAATAAACTTGTTTTTCCACTATATAATATTAACTAGCAACCTTTGCGCGGTTTCACCCGTTTTGCTCAGCTTCTATTGATCGCAGAGTTATGTTTTGTAGCATATATATAGCCTTCTTTTATAAATGCACTATTCAACACAAAAATACTTATTAAAAACGTTTACAAACAAATTCTTCAACTTTATAATGTTTCGTATTAATGTATTTCAGTTCACTTTTGCGCGCTGTGTTCCACGGCAAAACGTGATGTACACAAACATTTTATTCAACATCTTGTTACCCATGTTTTTGATCTGATTTATATTATATCATAAGAATAAGATTGGAGCTAGCCCTTCTTTGTTTTGGACTAGTGCTTATTCCAATTTGTTTCTGGCAAATCATTACCTAATAATAAAATAACATTTATCGTTGCCTTAAGTATCTATGTATTTAGTATAGCAGTATAGTGTACCCGTATTTTTTTTAAGGGGAGAAAATCATCGTTTGACTGCTCCCGCCTGGGTGAGGCAGGAGGGAGTGTCAGACTTTTACTGACTAAAAACCACCCCGTTCCTTCTAGTCCACGTCGAGCCGGAGCCCCGGTAAATAGTATACCCGTATTAACGTTGATTTTTGTACTGCGTCAGTCGATGTGCCTAGATTATCAAAGAAAAAATTAACTAAATATTTTTCATAATATCAAACTTTAAATGACTTCTTAGAGAACTAGGTTTCCATTACAGAATATTAAACGCAAACATTAATTTTAATTCCATAGTCTCTGTCAACCGTCATGTGAGACAGGCACGAGGTTAACATTAATTTTATAAACCAAATTGATTCCTGTCTCCGATACTTTGAAATTGAAAAATGTACAACTTAAATGATATATTATGCTACTTAAACTGGAGATCAAGGCAAGATTATTCCTACTAATCTAGATAATACGAATAAACGATAGAAAAACAATAGTAAACTACTATACGATCCATAATTTAAGTGAAAACGATTTATTCGTACTTTATCAATAATTAAATTTCATTCGACCGATCATTCACGTGGACGGCCGAATGAAGGCAACACTAAGATATTTTTTGATAGTATACGTGTCCGCACGTCAAACGGAATGAAAAATAACGTTTAAAATGTTAAAATATTTACTCTTTTTATTTATTCAGTGTTTGTTTTTTAATATAGGTGAAGTGAACAGTCAGGATATGTTGAAAGACAATCTTCTTGGAGCTATGATTAACGAACTGTATTTAATGTACAGGGATGCTTATGAAAACGGTAAAGAAGTTTTTATTTATTGTGTATATAGAATATAGAACATACTAGTCGTGTGATGGTGACAGTGGTAAAATCCCCAAAACTAAGGCTGCGATTACACTAGAGATGTATCGTAATCGCATCGCATCGAGGATGTTCAACTGTGAAAATGTGTGATGCGCCGTTTCCACCACACATCTCTGGTGAAAACACAGCCTACGAGTTGTTAGCTGAATGAGGAACACTTAGACATTTGATAAAAATCATGCCATACTATTGTCTGATAGATTTGCACTAATATGGCATAAGCCGGTAAACGGGCAGACGGATCACCTGATGGTAAGCAATCGGCGTCGCCCATGGACACCTGGAACACTAGAGGCTTTACAATTGCGTTACCGGCCTTTTAGGGATTAGGAGTTTGAGAATCGTTGGGGATTCAGGAATTGGGGAGATTGGGGCTCTCACACGACGAAATACAACGCAAGCGTTGCTTCACGTCGGTTTTCTGTGAGGTTTTGGAAATAGCCGTTACCTACATAGGTTTAATTAATTTGGTTATTAGTTATGCTAGCGACGGGATATCATTTATACAATAAACTCATTAATGCGAAATGTGGTGGTGTAATACCTATTTATTATTAAAGTTCCTGGCGTGACAGTCTACTATTTTAACAAAATTCGTAATTTTAACTGGAAGCCACTGTCGTTTTTCCAAAATTTCGTAATATGCTACATTTATTTATAATGGTCACTTATTAGTCGCCATACAGTTTAGATTAGGTATATTAATTATTTACATAACATAACATGTTATGTTGCTGCTTGACTGCCTCGTTGGCCGAGTGGTCGCAAGTGTGACTGCCGGGCAAGGGGTCTCATGTTCAATTCCCGGGTCGGGCAAAGTACTACTGGGTTTTTTAAATTCTCAGTAGTAGCACGGATTCTGGAGTTGTGGCCGGTATTTATTTATTCGATAACAATATTTTTTTTTATTTATTTGCCTTATTGAAGGCACTCCACTATCGTAATTTAAGCTATCACTATCGTCGGTCACTGGTGACCTCTATGGCGTTCAATGTGTTAAATTCATTATTAACCCTTTTTATTCAATTGAAACGCAATTGTAGTAACTATGTTATTAAAAGGTACCTACTATTTAAATATTATTTTTGTATTTCAGAGAAAACACATGTCACGCGAAGATTTTTCACAAACTACAACCATTATACGTTACACGTACAAAAATTAAAAGAAGTAAATGGTTGGAAAACACACAATTTAAAAGTTGAATCAAATGCCCCATGGGGTAAACCGGTCGTCTATATAAATAATCCCGTAGAATGTCATATGCCGAACGCCTTTTTTTCTAGAGAAGAATTTCAGAAAATTATGCTTAGTCGAATCCAAGAGCAAAAGAAAAGATTTAATAAAGATAACATTGATCTAATAAAAGCAAACAAATACTTTGAAACACACACACCTTTACCTTCGTACATAAATGTAAATGTTCACCAAGTTATTGACAAAATACATGACGAAATTATTGATGCATTTGATAGCGAGGCTATAAATACAAGAACTACTAATAAATTTATGATTACAACTGTATCAAATAAAAATGAACCTCAAGAAATATTAAGAGATATGCCCCCTTATACATATAAAAATACAGTTGAGAGATCAAAGAAAACTACACCTGGCTTCAAAATGACCAAAAAAATGAAACTTACAGCAAAAATGAGGCGTACCGTATCTTCTAGACACAAAAATACAAAGTCAAAAACGACAAAGTCAAAAACGACAAAGTCAAAAACGACAAAGTCAAAAACGACAAAGTCAAAAACGACAAAGTCAAAAACGACAAAGTCAAAAACGACAAAGTCAAAAACGACAAAGTCAAAAACGACAAAGTCATATATTTTAATAAGATCACATCTTGCAAGTAATAAAAAAATAAAACGAAAGGTTTCGACAATAACAAATCCGATAAGTAAGTTTGTATCTATACCTGATGAAAATGAATCAGTAGAAGAAATCAGTACAAACATAACGACAAAAAGTAAAGAAATCACAGAAAAATCTTTTGTTCTTGACTTTCCATCTACCGCATCGCTAACCAGTACTGAACCAACGATAGATGTCACAACTGAAGCAGTAGTTAGTAGCACTAAAGTAATTGCGGATAAAACGACAAAAGAAACAACAACGAGAAAACCTAAAGTTATCACAAAGACAGAAACTACAAAAAATACGGACACTGTTCATTACACGAAATCTACAGCAACGGTAACTAGTACTGACTCGACGACTGACGCCACAACTAAAACAGTTGTTAGTGATACCACAGCAACAACTGAAGCTACACAGAGTACAACAAGGAGGACTAGACAACGTGTAAGTTGAAATTGTTTTTTTAACCAAAATCGGTCGCCTTATCGTTTTGGTCACAACAGCACTCAAAATTTACATAGAAATATAGCTAGTTACGAACGCAAAATATTATGCTTGCTACACAAATGTGCTCACAAATACAGGTGTAATCTCTGTTCCTTTACTCTCATGATTCGATGTGACGTCAATCCCATTTATTATTTGGAGTATAACTTAAATTTCTGTGATATGGTCTTGAAACCCTAATGAATCCAGATGAGGCCCAGTAGGGCTAATGCCCGATACCGTTGCCGGGGCTCCGGCTCGAATAGCAGAACTAGTAACGGAGTGGTTTTTAGTCAGCAAGAGTTTGACAGTCCCTTTTGCCTCACCTTTACTATCAATTTTCCTCTCTACGAAAAAGACTCTGATCAAAATGATCGATTACATAGCCGTGCCGTACCAGTGCATTTTGTATTGTAGTCAATAAATAGGATGGTTTGGGACTAGTTGAGATTTCATCATAATGATTATCGAACGGAAGATATCCATTGCAGAATAAAATGTGTCTTTGTCTCCTTCAGAAGAGGGAGGAAGAGGTTTGTCATGATCCCTATGCCCTATGCTTGGTAGATGGCTTAGGAATCGCGCAGTTATTGGGGTAGGCGGTCCTACTATTATTTTTCTTGTGGATACTAAGTCAATTAGAATTCGGTTCATCCACCTTTCTAACATTTAATTATCTTAGGATATCTTTATTTCATTTTTATTCTGTAAAGCCGTTGGTGTCGCTAGTCATTATCTATAGAATTCATGACTGACTGAAGTTTGTTAGTGGGTGAAGAGGTATGAGTAAATGAAATGTTATAATAAGATTTAGAAAGCCTTGTAAAGGGCAGTAGGTTTTCGCTATACGAATTTCATTTTTGTTATAATCTTAATATTATAATTGCTTGAGTGTGTTTGCTTATTTATCTATATTTTATGGTAGGTGGTGGTGTTCGTGTCTAAAGATGGTTATTTGGAAAATGATACAACATTAGTTACATTTTTCCTTTTGATATCAGGGTGGTAAACGATTTGTGTAGTTCAGTATAATAACGTAGATTCAATATCTGATTTCAAGTATGAAATACATTATTAAGATGCAGTTGAAGAATAATGATGTGATCTTATTTGTCTATAGTAGTCGATCTAGGAATGAGTCCATAAATCTATTTTATTTAAAAAATTCTCGAGTCTTTTATTGTATTTCTTATTTTCTTACGGAATCAAATATTTTCGGCGTTATATTGATTTGAAATATCGCTTGACGTCACTTCTGGGTATATTTTATACGTAGAAATGACGTAATTAGTTCCGACTCCTAAACTTTGATTCGTTTTAGCCCACTACTTATTGTTTTATTAAAAGACACAATAAAAAAATACGTGTCTAATATTTTATCATTATCTAATGTTTGTATTATTCATAATGTCATTCTATCTCCCATGGGGGTAGACAGAGACTATGGAACGCGAATTGGAGACTATGGAACAACTACATGTACCTATTTCGCTTCATCAACAGTCTGATGACTGTGGACTGTGGTGGACTGATGTCCAATCGACAGACTGAATAGATTTTTAATTTTTTATACCTCATCATCATCCCTATTATAGGTGGTATTTTATACTGGGTTTTCTTTTATAATTGGTTTGTCCATGTATAATGTGTTCAGTACACAACAAGTGAATTACTTTTATAAGTAGGTACCTAATTAGAGAAACAATATTTTTCTACTTAAATATGCATACATATGTAAAACATGAAAAATAGGCTCATTTCCTTATTAGACTTATCAGTAGACTTTTGAAAAATGCTTAATATTATTTTTACCGACTTCAAAAAAAAGGAGGAGCTACCTACTATGTCGGATGATTGTTTTTTTTGTTTCCTTCACCGATTACTCAGCGATTTATTTTTAATTTTATAGCCGTGTAAAATATGTCTTTTGTTTTATTTCCAGCGACCATACGTGTTCTTCAATAAGTAAACAATGAAACTCATAGCGAATCTGAAAATAGTTCCTATATCAGTAGGATATTAATTTAACTGTTAATTAATAAATCCTAGATTGTATTTAAATCTGCTACAATGATTTACTTATTGTACCTAAGTGAAATATTTTTGTACCAATTTATTTATGTAGATTATTTATAGTAATTTTATTAAAACCTTACCTTTACGCTATTTAATTAAGATAATAGGATACGTAGGTTTCATTATCTATTCGTTACAGATTATTAATGTGTTTTACTAACATAGAAAAATTGTATCGGGATTTAATATAAGAAATTAAGTTTATTTAGTAACAATATATTTTTATCTACTAAGTAAATAATAATATATTATGTAGATTATCTTACCTTAAATTACTTCCTACAAAAAATCCAAGTTATTGCACAGGCAATAACTAAAACAACCTTCAACTGGCCGCCTCTAACATCACTAAATAATTTCAAAAAGTTCACAATACTAATGCTGGCTGTATATCGCAATTGTCACCGTCTCGTATCTGTCAACACACAGATATAAAATTTCCCGCCAAACGAAACGTCAAACTGTCAAACGCGCGGACATTGCGCCTCTACTTGCGAAAGGCGCCAATTCACTGATTACAAAATCTCACGTGGACCTCCAGTGCTTGTCTATACCTTTATAACTATGAAGGGCCATTGAAACGACTCTATTGCCATAAGCCCGGGTCAAAAAGGGATAGCAATACGAGAGAGTGTCAACACCCATTGTAAGCCGCTTACTGCTATTAGGATTGCTCATTTGTGCGAAAGAGACGCACAGATTTATATTGTGTAGCTTTAATTCACGCTCCGCCCATTCCTCATTTAACCCCCACCAGCGGTGGGGTGAACTTGGCCAGTTTTAAATTATCTATTATAATAAAATTATTTCACGAAATAAGGGGTTGGTTATGTTAATGATGTGTTTAATTTATGTCGATATCTTAACTTTGAGTAGTTTGACAGTTCTGATTGGCATGCGTGCATGGATTTGTTGAAGAGGAATTCTAGTGTAGAATATTTAAGTACTTTATTTCGAGAATAAATATTGTTGTTTTAATTTATTATGTTTGTTTTATTTGAATCAAACAGTTTTTCAGTAGGTAGGTATTCCTTACAAACGTGCACTTTATATATTTTATTATAAAAAAATATGATTTCTATTAAATAGAGTTTGCCGTTTGTGTTATAAATATTTTAAAATGTACGCTTGCTATACTTTTCATGTGTAAACCATTGCCATTTTTTCAAATAAAAAGAGATTAATTGCAGAATCGTCAATTCTCCTTTTGGGAAATGTATGAAAAACTGTCAAACACCACCAAATTTTTATTTTTTTTTGTATTTTAATGAATGTAATGGAACCCTTTAATAAATAACTGATCTCCCTCCTGCAACCGACAAAAAGGCTTTCGCGTCCAATTTTCCGTCTCTTTTCATCCCACACTCGTCATTTCTGATACAACTATAAGTGAAGTAGCATACCAAAACGTACCCTAAAGTTTTAAGTTAGAGTAGGTTTTTGTTTGTTCTGTAACTTGTAAGCTTCTGTCAACATTTGCGGTCGGGTTTCGGTTTATCTCCCCCACACAAAATTGTTAGTCACACAAACATTATCTTTGACCAATGGGACGTAACCACGGGCCATTTTCAGCCAATCGATGCGCTTAAAATTTTCGTTTTCGCGCGCTTCCCAATTTGAAATTTGTTTTTTATGATTTTTTAAAATTGGAACCGTAAGCTTTTTGTTTCGCGGTATGTTGGTATCTTTTTCTTTTTTTATTCTGTAATCGGTTTTTAGTCTTTGCATAGAGGAGGAAGCATTGGTATATTTTTTTATATTGATCTAACAAAAAGTTATAGTGTAAAGTCTAATATTTAATGATGGTATCTCTGTATGTTTTTAAATACCAATATAAAATTATAAACTATAATATCCAACTCAACAATCATACATCAGACGATTAAACCAATAATTATGTCCAAAATCTTATAACAAAGTCTTTAAAACACCTTAAAAATTAAGGAAATCTTCAATTAATTAAGAAGTAAACAAGCAATTGATTCGATTACTATTAGGTAAGAGTCCACGATGTTAAGATTGTTTTCATCGAAGTGGGTGCTTACACGACCTCTTTCCTGCTCAATTTGCCGTGGTGCCTACAATAAGGCAAGTTCATGCTAACTTAATGTGGAGAACGATTTGTTGGATTTAGTTTTTAGAACTGCCTCGTTGGCCGAGTGGTTGCAAGTGCGATATCTGGGCAAAGGGTCTCGGGTCCATTCCCGGGTCAGACAAAATATTACTTGGGTCTGGAATCGTGCCCGGTAATGGCAATAGGTTCACTCCCTATTACATGGGACTCATAACATAAATAGTGAAAAGTGGGTGTTACATTGTACAGTCACATTAAGTGCCGTAATGTGCACTTCTGTCTACCCCTTCAGGGATAAAAAGGCGTGATGGTATGTTATTTCTCACGATAGTTATAATAAATTATTGGCGAACAGTACCTACCTAATCAGCACCTATTACTAAAGCGTTAATTGGCACTATTCCAGACTCCGCTGCTACTACTGAGATTTTTTTAAACCCAGTAATACTATGCCCGACCCGGGAATCAAACCCGAGACCCCTTGCCCGGCAGTCGCACTTGCAACCACTCGGTCAACGAGGCAGTGTATGATGTTTATATCTGCATATAAATCTCTACTCATCTATTTAGTCAATGTAACGTGGTTTAGCGTAATAACAATTGTTTAATCAGTAAAACATACTTAATCTGTCAAACACCAAGCGGTCACCGGTGACCGCGACCTATTGTTCTTTAATTGTGTCTATAAAACCGGTACTCGACGAGTTAAGGGCTCGTACACAAAACTGCAATACGACGTCGCATCGCAAGAACTTGCCAATTAATTCGCATCGCACATCAAAATCTTATCTTTCCAAAATCTTTTGTTTCTTTTTCCTGTATCTCCTGAGCAGTAACAGAAGTGCACACTTCTTTTTACGATCCATGTCACGATCTAGTTTTCAATTTAAAATACGTTTAGTACGGTTGACGGTCGTCGAAGGAATTCGTGTCGTAATTTTCTGCGTTGCGAATTCGCATCGCACCGCACCGCAGTTTTGTGTACGAGCCCTATGCTTGTCTAATAGTTCATCTTAATTCAAATGAGGTTTTTTCGTCCAAAAGTGAACTGTAACCTCCTGTGATAATGATACCTATCTGATATTGATAATGGTTAGGTAGTGAGTAGAGGTAACATCTTGAAGAAAAAAAACGCCGTCTCCCTACAATCCGAGGCGGCGTGCAGCGCAGCGTGTACGCAATTGCTCAGCAATGCGGAGTCGGGACGGCGCGGCGTCGTGGTTACAATTGCCAAACAAACGGGACGATGTGTGTTTCACTGATAACTTTAAGGGTCAATGTTAAACTCAAGAGACTACTTACATATTTACAACTTAAAATTAACTACAACTAAACTATTAAATAAAATGAAAGTAAATTAAAAGAAAAGGTAAACAACAAAAATTATTACAGACTACTTAGTTATTATCTTTTAGGGCCTATTCCACCATCTTCTTACGAGTCTATTATATATCAAAGAAAGTCGTGTTAGTTACACCACTTATAACTCAAGAACGGCAGGATAGATAGCTTAGAGCCAGAGCCAGGAGACCGACATAGGATACTTTTTAACCAATACTTTTGTTTTACTTTTTACCGAAAATCACGAACGGGGACGGGAAAAAAATGGGATTTCGCGTACGAAGTCGCGGGTAGAAGCTAGTACTCGATAAACTTAATGACAGATGGTCCATATAAATTTTGTTCTACCTATATTCTATCTAGTAGATAGTGGCTATCCAGACATTGTGAGGCCCAAATGGGGTAGACGACTAATTTTTATTTATTGCCTATATTTATTGTATTGCCTGACAATACAAGGGGTCTTGTATTGTCAGGCAATACAAGACTCCTGTCATTCGTTAAACTACCACCAGAGACCATTAGACCACAACGGGTGCGGGACAATCTCCAGTCACCGTAAACACGAGCCGGCTGATGCCGATATAGAGCTGCGAAAGACTTAACAGAGTGCCGAGCACAAATAAATATCGCATTCGTATCGTAACAGTATCGAGCGAGTTAAGCGTTTTGATTGGTTGTTTCACTTGAGCCGGCCAATCAGAGCGCCGAACGCGCTCGATACTATTACGTTACGAATGCGATAGTTATTCGTGCTTGGCACTCTGATTGCTAGGGCTGTGGCTCGAAAGGCAGGAGTACGAACAGGGTGATTTTTTATCTGTATGAGTCTGACACTCCTTCCCGCCTCACCCAGGTGAGAGAAGTCATTCGATGACTTTCCACACTTAAAACTAAAGACCACCACGTATGGGGCCCAATAGAGCTGATGCTGATGCGGAGCCGCGGAGAGCGTAAGCCGTTACCGGTCACCGGAGGTCCGGTTCGAAGTACAGGAGTTCCTACTCCTACAGAGTAGTTTTAAGTCAGTAAGTATCTGATACTTCTAAGTCATTCGATGATTTTCCCCCTTAAAAAGCCAGCTATCCTATACATACCTAGGTATAATAAAGAACTACAACTAATAACAATGCCTATTTACATGTGAATATAAAACAATGCATGCACAATGTATGAATATTCCACGGCCGCCATTGTGACCATCTGCTGCACTTCCCGTACACGACGCTGCGCGGGAGCATGTAATTATTATGCAAATACCGATGTACTGATAGAACTTTGGGTTTTTACTTTAATTAAATTTTGTATGAGCGTGGTGATTAATGCTTAAACATTCTCCGTGCGAGAGCCTTTGATCAGCAGTGGCTACTTATTGGCTGTTGAAGACGATGATAATGAATAGAAAAATTTAGATATAAGTAAGTAAATTACAGGAAACTTGAAAAGGAAACTGTAGTATTAAAAGTAGTATAATTATGTCACTCTTTATCTCTTCAACTATCTCTACTAAAGAAATCACGCCAATTCGTCACTCTGTTTTGCCGTGAAAGACACAGAAACAAACATATACAGAATTAACTAAAATCGCGGGTTATTCACGTGAATATACTGAGAAAAGCTCTACACGAGTGAGCTGCGCGACGTCGCCGCGACCACGCACGCTGCTCATGAGGAAGAACCCCTCTGTGGTTCGAAACTAGTAGAGCTTTTCTTAGTATATTCACGTGAGTAACCCGCGATTTTGAGTTAAACACATACAGGTTTAGAATTTTTAGAAACCTTATTTTAACATAACAAGTGCAGTAAGTTACTTTAAATATACATTCAAAGTATGAAATAAAAATACATTAAGTACTTACCCTTGATCAATGTGACCCGATCTCTCGCTATGGAAATATTGTCGGATCATATCTGTGCACCACAGTACCAGTTATCTAAATATGTTAATTACAGTAATATCTATGTATAGTTGGCGTAGAATATATTCACACGTATGAGTAGGACTTATGTTTTTTTGTGGGGAGCAATTCATCCAATGACTTGCCCACCTTGGGTGAGGCCTAAAAACAACGGTTCGTACTCCTGCTTCGCATTGGAGCCTCGTAAACCCACTGATCATCCCAGCTTTAGGATTAGGTACCTATTTAAGTAAGAAATACATTACAATTTAAACACAACATAACACCACGCTTTTTATCCCCGAAGTAGTACAGTAGGTACAGTAGGTTAAAATTAAGTGCCGTAATTGTGCACAACACGGCACTTAATTTTAACTTAAACTACATACTACATCTGTTATCTCTAGTCAAATAGTGGAAATATATCAGGCAACCATTTTTTTTCTTTAATTAAAAGCCAGAAAGAAGCTTATACAGAAAAGGAATCATAGTTTAAGCGTCGCGTCACGATTTTACCTTATTTCTACATTACTTACGTCTACATTTTGTATGTAGAAACCACGTCTTATCATACATTAACTTATCGTCATTCATCCCATAATTTCTCATAATTGTAGTGACGACAGATT